CCAGAATTAAAATATATTTCTTGTTTCTACTAGCTTCTTGCTCCTAGTAGTAAGGCCAGGAGCCCCTAGTAGCGTCCTTGCTCCTAGTAGCGATGCCCTTTGCTCCTAGTAGCTTCTTAGGAGCAGCAAAACAGTTCTTGATTCTTGATCAAAAACAAGTAGAAAATGATGATCAATCACAGGAACAGGACTAGTGACTGGTAGACGGTGATTGGTTTTGCCGCATCATCCACTGCATGATTTTCGTGAATGATATATAGTTCCGTCTCAGGTAGGGGTGGCCGAACACATCCAGTTCCTTTGGGAGAAAACTGTGATCTCCATGTTGGGCACCTGGGCCAGCGAGCTGACTGAAGAGGTCCAGCGCTCAAAGCAAAACTCTTGACAACATTTTGTGCCGAGCTTCAGAGTGTTCAGCCAGCCTTGCCAGTGAGGAGCGACAGTCAGGGAATGCACAAAGACCCACTTGAACTCACAAGATTAGAGTGTTTCTCTATGAATCATGCCTTTCTGTGTATATGCAGTAATTGTTTGGTTTGCAGCCTTTTCAGCACTGAACTGACACACTACTCACTCAACACAAATGGTGAACTGACACACTGAAAACAAGGAACTGACACAGCAATAAGTCTCGGCGACAGGAGGAATCATGTGAAGAGGTGGACCTAGTCATGTCAAGCAGTCAAAACGTGTCGTTTTGCACTTGACGAGGCTCGGAACATTGTGGCTGACCGGAACTGCGGCAAAGGACGGCTGATGAGACATTGAGGGACTTCGGAATCAAAGGGTTTGAAAGCAAACGGATTCGGATTCAGTGTTGCTTTTTGTATATACTGTAAGCCCGCGGCCCTGCCGCAGCCTCCTCACTTAATTACTGTAAGTAGGCCTACTTAATTAAGTAAGGGCGATTAGTTCGCTCCTAGCTTCCTTGAAGAAGCGCTCGCACTATCCAATTATATAGTTCCTAGATTTTTGTTTAACTATACCCACTAGTGAGATTTGGCCGTTCCAATTGTAAGATTTCTCAGGAGGAAGTTGCAAGCTCCTGGCTTATGACGCTGAGCTGTTGGAGCTCTTGAGCCCGTCACCACTTCACAGGTGGAGTTGCTTGGGACTGCTTGGGTGAAATATCTTAGCAATGCTCATTGATGATAAATTGCATAGATACAAATTATGTAGTTATAAGTTATATGATAATTTGATTATGCTTCAATTCAACAAGGGCAATGTTGCAAGAACTTAAGCATAACTTCCAAGCGAAAAAGCAGCAAGTAACCCTTTCTTCTCGCACAGGAACTCCTCCTTGACCATTGCATCAGTCCTGTCGCTTGCGCCGAAACAGGCATGAACTGACATGCTGACGTGCTGAACAGAAACTGCCGCAAATGTTTGCCCTTGCAGCAGGTTTGTTTCTTGGCAGAGGGTATGACAAACATGATGGTTCCCTCCTACCTTCACCAGTGGAAGGCTGCATTCCGGCGGCTTGCTGCTGACGTGCCACAATGGCAAAGGGCATTTGGAAAGCTTCCACTAACGAAGGCCTTGAATGTGACAGAGTGGGAGAATTTCGAGTCGCAAGCGGACGAGGCCAGGAACTTGGGTTTGCAAGAGTTGATCCTCAACGACCCTTTGTTCTTGGATTGTATAACATGTTTGTTTGGGCTGCTGTCATCGCTAGTATGTTGGTTGGAGGCCATCGCTACTAGGTTGGAGGTCATTGCTATTAGGTTGGCAGCTTGGTCTTGGCACCCAGGTGATGTCCCTTTTTAGACTCGTGGAGCACAATGCCACTGATGTGAGCAGCTTAGTGTTCATCAAATTCCGATTCAACGATAGGCAATGGGAAGGACAAGCACCGCCTCGCCTGCTTTGTCATTCTTGAATTCCTTGAAGAGATACTGTAAACTTTTTCCCGGAAGCAGAGGGCAGCTCTGTATGGCAATACCAATGGGTACCCTTTAAAGTTGTTTTTAATACCCATCTTCAGTTGATTCTGGTTTTGCTCAGCGGCCAGCACAAGACGTAGAATGACCAAAAACCAGAACGCAGAGCATTAGGGGTGACTGCTTCGAGACGTCATCGCTAGTATGTTGGAGGCCATCATCGCTATTAGGTTGGAGGCCATCTTCGTGCTATCGCTGGGCCTTGAAGGGGTCTGATTGAGGAGGAGAAGGAACCCTTTGCCTCGAGAGCACATGATGCACTGGATGTGCAAAGACAAGGGGAGGCTACATGGGAGCAGCCTGAATTGTCATACGCATGCCTCGATCGGGTGTAGACAGTTGCTGACAGGGCTTAGAGGAGAATACCGAAGGCATTTCTTGGGGTTGAGTACAAAGGTCAGTTTTCAGAGAGAAGATTTGCACACACACACACACTCTTTCTTTAGTATTTGACATTGATGAGCCGAGCTCATCCAAATTCCGAAGTCTAGAAAGGTAGAGAGCTGGTTGCCATATAGTATATCGATATACATTGGTTTACATTTTGACAGATGGCCGATGATGATAGCCACACTACTCACAAAGCCTATGCCGATCTGTGTCAGGCATTGGCATCGTTGCAGTGGCGCTACCTGGAGGTTGCCAGAGCAAAAACTCACCTCGTTCAAACTGAATGCTCTTGATGCGTTCTTGTCCGGTCCACACACTAGTAGCAAGAAGCTACTAGGTGGAGGCCATCGCTATTAGGTTTGAGGCCATTACTACTACGATTTGTTCGACTCGGATCTGAAAGATGGGGCAGATGCAGAACGACGAACCAGCTGGGCATAGGCCCAATGGCAGTGATGTTTTGGCTTTGTGAATCGCCAGGTTGTAAACCTGCACGACTGCAATTCCAATCTCCCAGACATCAACGGGGACCGACATTCATTTGCCACCCTTTTCCCACCTGCTGCCTTCGCACCTAAATCAACACAGGACCACGGGCACAGGGCACTACCATTTGCTGTCCTCATCGGCATAGCGGTTGCCGCATTCTCAATTGGAGCATCCTGGGAAGATGGAGATTAAGCACTGACAATAGCCGAGATGATCAATGACTCCATCGATCCAGGCGTTTGTCGCACTGCTGCTTGCATGCCTCGGCTGCTGCGGTGTGAAACTTTACCGCATGCGACGGAACAGGCAGGACTTTTCTTTAGTCACAGAAAGAGGAAGAACATGGAAGAAACATGTAAAGACACTGAGCTCGCTTCAGGCAAGCTCGACAAGCCGCCAGCTTGTTGTTGAGTGCTGCCTCCAGCTGTGCTGCCAGCGATAGGCCCTCTTGAAGAAATGCACTTGAACTCACGAGTGTTGCACTTGATGCGTCAAAGAGGCCTGTCACTGTAGCTCCCAACTCAGAGGCTGGCAAGGGCTCGGGCACGGAGGTGAAACCCAGCAGGATCAGGATGACACAAAGACAGTTGTTTGATGTGGTTTGTTTTAGTGGTCTTGGAGTACTTCGTAGCTTTGCTTGGAGGCCATCGCTAGTAGGTTGGAGAGTGCTATTGGGTTGGAGTACTTCGATTCTTTGCATTGTTCACAGCTTGGGGAGGCGAGCACTTCGGCCTCCCGCGGCGAAGTTCTGAGAGGTTGAGGCCCCGGCTCTAGCCCCGGAGGTGCTCAGTGAAGAGCTGTTGGCCTTTTGGGCCTTTTCATGCCTTTTCCAAATCCGTCCAAAGGGAGCGGATGATGTAAAGGAACAAACGGAATTTCACATCCAAACACATTGTTGGAAGGAGCCATACTAAACAACTTCTTCTCTTCAGCGCAACTTCTATCAAGTACTCGTTTCTACTGTGACAGTGTGCTTTTTCCGACAAATGTAGATTTGAGGCGCCGTGATGAGCCTGAAGACCATCAATGGCTTGAAGAGGGTTAAGCATTTTTCAGAACACAAGTCGGGAGTCATTATTTTCGCTCTTTAAACCCACCTTTTTGAGACCAGTTTGTTGTCACTGTACATCAAGAGAGACAGAACCTTGACCCGAAATTTGGAATTAGGCTGCTTTGCACCAAGCACTGGAGCGAAGCTCAAAGGTCTCCGGTTCTTGGAGACAATACCTTTCTCTTTGTCGAACTTTGCTCGTACCTTGTTGTTCAGCGGCCTTCGGGTTCACGCCCGACCTTTTTGATTTGGTCGCTTGTGACCGAACCACCAGAGGGATCACATTCTCACCTTAGGTTCCTTTTGCTATTAGGAACAAGAAGCTATTAGGTTGGAGGCCATCGCTTCTATCATGATGCCTAGAGCGGCTTTGAACGTGAGGAATCTTCACCAGGGTGACTCCCTTTGTGGTAGCTCTTTATGCTCTTCACCTCCCATCGAAGTCGGCTTTTTCCAGATATGGGCGAAGCCAAGGGAAGCGGCTTCAAAGTGCCAACGTCCCACTTTCATTTGCATTTGAGTTAATTAGCAGAGTTCCATTGCATTCTATTCTATAGTTGCTTGCATGCATCGTGGAATAAGGATCAATGAGGTGGCTAGGTTCACCTTCTCAAAAGGTGGTGTGCAGCTTGGGCTCCTTGTTAAACCGCTCGCTGCACAGGAAAGACTTTTCAAGAGCTCAGCAGCACTCATAGTAGCCGCTGGCCAGGCACAGCTGGCTGAGCCATCCTCACATTTCCTCCACCCCACTGACGACTCCACCGACTCACGATCACCACTCATTTGTCCTTAGAGACTGGCCGGACTGATGGCGCGATGCCATTTCGGAGACGGTCCTTGGATGATGGCGAAGAAGATGAGGCAAATCTGCAGAATGGATGAGGATGGCGGGACGCAACAAGCATTAGCTTGCACACCAAACCACTTTAAAGTATGCGCTTGCATTTCTCAGTCATAGTTTTGGCTTTACCTAGGCCCCTCCCAGGTCTCCAAAAGAAGTGGTGGAGTTGAACGAAACAGGGTCTCAGTCTCAGCAACTCAGTTCTATGGAGTTACGACTTGGCAGGTGGCACCGCTCCACGAGCCTCACAGGGATCAGAGCTCAAAGGGGACCTTGTGACCGTTTGATGACCACCCGACCACAATTGAACAGAGAGAGATTGGTAGCGCCAGTGAAAAGTGCTAAGGACGTGGTAGATGCCCCAGGCATTCCTGCAGAAAAGCGGCTGGGCCGTCGAGTAGATGAGGAGCTTTGCGCTTGTCCATTTATCTACTTCCTCTATTGTGGTCGCGCGGAGTGTGTGACATGAAGAGACAGGAACACCAAAGTCTAAAGTTCGAAAGGAAAGAGCAGAAGAGGAAAGGAAGGAACCACGACAAAGGCCGTTCTAACCAAGGGGTGTGGACTTGATAGGAGACCTGCTTCATCAGTGATCAGAAAATCGCACAGGCGCTCCGGTATCATCGCTACTAGGGTGGAGGCCGTCGTCGCTAGTAGGTTCACTGATTACTCAAACCTTGGGAGACGGGTGGAACGGTGTAGACGCGGTGAAGACCTGGTGCTTTAGACTGCTTGATGTTGACCGCATCACCCGAGGCACTACAGCCGTCCCTGCTGAACGGTGGCAACCTTGTAGATGTTTTTCAGCATCGCGAGGCCGCATACATCGCACCTATTGAAATCAATTAATATCACTATGATTCGTATGATTATCATACTTGTTGATTGCAATTTTGCAATCTGGGTGGTGCCATGGGCGGTTTGTTCAGGATGACTTTGAAGCTGTTGAGACGATCGAAGTGTTCTACACCACAAGTGCCGGAGAGAAGGCGATTGCGGCATCATTTGGTGTGAGAGTAGCTTGCTACTAGAAGTCAAGTCCTTTAGTAGGATGGTACACAAGATAGCTTGAGCGGAGGCGTTTCAGTGAGTGAGAACTTGAATTAGGTTCATTGGATAATCATTAATCAAGCATCGGAACTTGTACCCTTTCAACTTTAAAAACTGTTCAGCAGTTCAGCGCATCAAGCTGCGGCAAGTGTATCTATCGAGCGCTCCATTGAAGCTCTTGGTATAAGAGCCCACAGCAACCTTTGCGTCAATTTAGCGCTTGTCTTGACTTGTCTTGGTGTTTCTCCAAACGAAAAAGCTGCTTGAAGACCACTGCTAGGTTCACGAGCTGGTCTTCGCCGAGAATGCTGAAAGGACTGTGACTGGGCCACGCATCCTGGTCTCGGTGCCTTGGGCTGAAGCAGATTCTCCAAGTTGATTTTGGAAGGGTGACGAAAACAGGACTAGTAACAAGAAGCTACTAGGGGCTCCTGGCATCGCTACTAGGAGCAATGGCATGCATACTGCAGGACATTTTGTTCGTACATTCACATGATACTGGATGCTACTTGTGACTGAAGCCTACGCAGCAGCAACGCACTTCTCCAATTTGCTTTGTTTGCAGTTGTTGACACAGTGTTGAGAATAGAATTTGCTCCTTGTAACTGTGGCCTAGGCCAACAGGGTGAACACCATGCACCGCGCAATTTCTGTGCTGTCTCGCAAGGTGAGCTTGCACGCGTTCATACATTGATACACTAGCGGCAGTAGCGTTTGTGTCTTCTTACGTTTTCTTCCAGTCGGTCAATCAATTTTTGACCCGGGCTGAAGGTCCACCTCCATGACCCACAATAGAGGTATGCATGTCCTACGCAAGTTCTCCTTGCGAGTCTTGCAGGTTGACAACCTCACAACAACCTTGCGTGTTTGCAGAGAGCACTACTACAAGGCGAGAAGACTGACATTGATTTGCAACACGAGTGGTTTTTATAGAACTGTTTAAAACGCATGGCCCACACTGATCGCACTGTCTCTTTGCTTGTAGCCTTCGCGCTTGACCTCGGCATGAGAGGAGCTGTTTTCGCTACGGCACGGACGCCAGCCCACAGAAGACCATGAAAAATTCTGGCTCGCATCTTAGATCGACCAAGAGAACGGTGGTTCGGTGGTTGACAGATGTTCACAGTGAAGGCCGAACGCATATTGACGTGACAGACTACATAGCAACAGAGGCCACGTTCAGCACGTCTGAGGTTTACGCCACAAGCATACCAAGACACGGCCTGGTACTCAGCACATCTCAGCACACTTCCTGATACTCCATGACGCCGAATGCCACTACTTGCTATGATTCTACAAGACAAGCAATGACATTTGAAGCAAGCGGTTTGGAAAAAAAGAGTAGATGTGACATGATAGGTTCTTTAGCTTGACTGCAAGGGGCTTCATGACGACAATTTCCGCCACTGCGAGCATTGTAGCCTTCGAGAAAGCCGAGGTTTCAATTCAAGAGCTGCGAAAACGATTTGGAACCGAACAGGAGGTGCAGTCCAAAATCGAACACACTCACTTTTGACAACGCTCGCAGCACTCGAAGGATTTTGCCTCAGATGTAGGATTTTCCCAACAGGAGTTCAGGAGTTTTGTTTATTTTTTGATTTTTTGATTTGTCACTGCGTGCAAAAGCATGTTAACAATTGTTCAGGTATCTTGCCAATTCCATAAGAAAACGTATCCAAGACCTGCACCCCAGGATTTGCGGAAGCGAGAGCAGGAGGTCAGAGAACTCAGGCCCGAGTGGAGGGAAGACCAATGGAATATCGTTGTTCAGCCTAAGATGCTTTCTAGATTCTTTTTTTCACTGCAATCTTCCAGAACTATAACGGTTTTGTTTGTTTGTTTGTTAACACCAAATTTAGCAGACAAGTGGAGCCAAAGTTGGCAGAGCAGGGCCGGATGCGATTCTTTGCAGGGCTAAGCTGCACCAGATCGACAGCATTGCTGAAGACCGCCTCGAAAAGCTTGTCACGCTCCACCCTTGGCTGATTAGGTTACTGGGAATGGACCAGCTGGGACGAGATGTTCGACCTTTGATTGGTTACAGGCTGCTTAGTGGATGGGTCGAGGCACCGAATTATCGTAGTAGTTTCAACCGTTGATTTGTACCACTACCATGGTGCACATCTCCTCTTGCATACTACCAGATGGTGAATGTGATTATGGTACCAGATGAAAGCACGAACTTGTACTGCTTGTACCCGGTCGAAGTTGACATCTATTTTTCAGGAGAATGCAGTATGAAGACACTGTACTATTTGAAGACCCTGCAGCACAGAAAGTAGCTCAACATGTCTGGACAGGTTGGAGGGTTGGAGGTTTTCGTCGTCATAAGACAAGGTGATCTAGCAACAAGAAGCTACTAGTAATAAGGGCATCGCTACTAGTAACAAGGGCATTACTACTAGTAGCAAATAGCTACTAGTAACAAGAAGCAGTTATGGGAACAAGTGTACCATGTCCCTCTTGACGGTGCCTGAGGCGCAAGACCGTGCCAGAGCTTTTCAGCTCCTCGGCATAGGGTGGAGCGCAAACCGGTGCGGATCGGTGCAGACGGCACAATTTCCTCCAGACTATGTCAAGTTCTGTAAGAGGAGCTTGTGGTATGCCTTCACGATATTCAATCGATTTACAGTATGAAATCTTTTTTGTGAACGATTGACACCTTTTCGCTTTGCCTCTAAGGCTGGATGAAGGACTTGAACCACTTTCGAGAGGCAGTCCTTGTTGAGCCTTGCTTTGCGTGGAACGGCAGGCAGTCTCAAGAGTGCCATTAAAAAATTCCTCACCTTCCCAGGCGGACTTTGATCACCACATCCAAGTGCTTGGCCAGGAGCTTCAAATCTCTGAAGGGTTTTGGTGTGTTCTTTGCGGATCCAAAAGATACATAGACAATCAGATACATCTCCGAACCCGTCAGGAGCTTGGCATCAAGGCACGTGTGGAGTGACCGTTTCCGGTGCCACGTGACATAGCTAATATTTCTTATAGGTTCTATTTGGTGAAAAAGCAGTGGGCAAGGTCCGACAGACACTGCACACAGCTTGTTCTCTCGTGCTGCCTGAAGGAGTCATGTTTGTTGATCATGAAGGACAGTATGAGAGTGAATCAGGGTGTGCCAAACAGAGTGATTTAGACAGGGATCAATTTGCTTGATCTTTATATAAAGCACATGAAGTCCTGCAAAGCCATTCTTGGCAAGGCTAATGATGCAAACAAGGTGCGGTGGCCGTGGCAAGGGGAGGTATATAAAGTTTGGACGCAATAGCGTATTATATAAATATCACAGTAAATATATAACGTTACATTGGGCTTGCGTTGGTTTAGGTCGTGTCAGGGTTTGGAGCAACTGCAGTTCTATGAAACACAGGAATTGCTGGCCACGCATTCATGTAATCTACAGATTGCTGAGGCATGCTAAAGGAAGAAGCTTGATTCTGCCAGTGTTGCTACCCATGCACACAGACACGCACCACAACAAAAAAGCCCTGCCATGCTTGGCCCTTCTGGATATTCTTTTTCGTGGGATTTGCAGCCGAGAAGGTGCCAGACCTGGAGAAGGTGCGGAAGGAGAAGGGTTTGCAATGGTTTGCATGTTTGTGATCCGACTCAAAAGGATGATTTGTTTGCAGAGTCGATTGTCGCCCGAAGTACTCTTGCTTTGAAGGTGGAGCTCAAGACTCGTGCTGAAGATGCTGAATTTGAGGCCATGGGCATCCATGGGCCTAACAAAACGAGCCTACGCTGTGGTGCTTTTGCACAACAGCTTTTTGGGCTCCTCTCTCTCTTTTCCGGATCTGGAAATTCTGTGATGAAAAAGCTATCCGCAGCAGGTTGCAACGCATACCTTCCGGCGCCTGTCAGGTTCAAAGTCTCCAAAGAAAGCTGCAGGAATCAGAGGTGCCCCATGGGAAAGCGAGATGTCCAACGCCACTTCCTGTACGCTGCAGAGAGATCGCTGCAGATAGGTCGCAGCGACCACGGGTTACCGCGATTGCACAGAATTTGCACAGCGACTTGCTTTTGTTTGACACAATATCCGCACAGAGATCTCCAAAACATGCCTTGCACAGGGAGTTGCCAAGCTGATGCAAGTTTGTGAAAAGTGACCGTTTGTGTGAGGCCATAGCAATGCAGAGCATCCAGAAGCTGCTTGCTTTGGAATCAGAGAGGCCTTGCACTTCAGCTGCTTTGTTTCCATCGAAGTAAGTCGAAAATCAGGTCTGCTCATTGGAGGGCAGCTTGATTGTTTGACAACCAAAGCATTAGCTTCATTAGCTTGCTTGATTCCAGGTTTGACACACTGAAGCCCTTTTTTCTTGGAACAACAGGAAGGTAAATAAAGGCCTTCAAGAAGTCACCTGTAAAGGGGTTCATCCTCGTGCAACATACGAAAGAAAAATTGGGGGTGCATGTGAAAAGTGTCCTTAACCAGAAGCAAAAGGGCACCCCCCAGAACTGTATATCAATCATCAGTGTGCCACAGTCCATTATTGTGCTTACTTCCCTACTCCAACGCTATAGATTAGATGGCTACACGTTCGACTTCATGTTCATGCAAAGTGAACAAAAACTCACGAGCGTTTATCGTTAAGTTATGTTAAGTTTTTGACCTGAAGAGCGCCCAACCCCAACGAAGAGGGGCACCCCCTCGAACTGTTTTATTCAAAAGATTTGAACGTTTGTACAAGCGCCTCGAATCCAAATCAATCCCTTCACCAATAACAGTAAACAAATGTTAGTAGAGACCTTCAAATTAGTACAGCCCTTGTGTATATTGGCTCTATCATATCAAGCGTCAATGTGAAACTTTGCATATCTCTGCCTTCTCTTGTCCCATGCTTACATAACCTAAAAACGTCTCAATCCCTACAGGGGCTGGCTTTCGTCCCCTCCCTTCTCAGGTTTATATATTTATATATATATATGTATATAATATAGATAAGATACATAAATAAAAAACACATATCTATATCTATATATATATATATTTGTATATTATTCCCCAGATAGCGAGGCTATGGGGTTCTTACCTCAAAAAACAAATGAGTTGCCCGCGCGCTTTCGAAGCAGGTTGCTGGTGCTGGGTGCCGGTGCCGGTGCTGGTGCTGTGAGCTGGCTGTGCACGTGGTGGAGACAGGTTGGCTGTGCACGCGGTGAAGACAGGTTGCTGGTGCCGGTGCTGGTGCTGGGTGCCCGGTGCCGGTGCTGGTGCTGTGAGGTGGCTGTGCACGTGGTGGAGACGGGTGCGGGGTGCCGGTGCTGGTGCTGGTGCTGTGAGCTTGGAGACAGGTTGCTGGTGCTGCTGCCGGGTGCCGGGTGCCGGTGCTGGTGGTGTGAGCTGGCTGTGCGCGTGGTGGAGACAGGTTGCTGGTGCTGGTGCCGGGTGCCGGTGCTGGTGTTGGGTGCCGGGTGCCGGTGAGCTGGCTGTGCACGTGGTGGAGACAGGTTGCTGGTGCTGGTGTTGGTGCTGTGAGCTGGCTGTGCACGTGGTGGAGACAGGTTGCTGGTGCTGGTGCCGGGTGCCGGTGCTGGTGGTGGGTGCGGGGTGCCGGTGCTGGTGCTGGTGCTGTGAGCTTGGAGACAGGTTGCTGGTGCTGCTGCCGGGTGCCGGGTGCCGGTGCTGGTGGTGTGAGCTGGCTGTGCGCGTGGTGGAGACAGGTTGCTGGTGCTGGTGCCGGGTGCCGGTGCTGGTGTTGGGTGCCGGGTGCCGGTGAGCTGGCTGTGCACGTGGTGGAGACAGGTTGCTGGTGCTGGTGTTGGTGCTGTGAGCTGGCTGTGCACGTGGTGGAGACAGGTTGCTGGTGCTGGTGCCGGGTGCCGGTGCTGGTGGTGGGTGCCGGGTGTCGGTGCTGGTGCTGGTGCTGTGAGCTCGGAGACAGGTTGCTGGTGCTGGTGCCGGGAGACAGGGTGCCGGGCACCGGTGCCGGGCGCCGGTGCTGCGTGCGTGCTGGCTTTGCGGCTGGTGGAGAGGATTTGTTGTGACAATGAGCTGGCTGTGCGCGCTTTCGATACAGGGTGCCGGTACAGGGTGCCCGTGCTGGGTGCCGGCGCCGGGTGCTGGTGCGGGCTGTGGTGCTGGTGCTGGCTGCTGTGAGCTGGCTGCGCGCGTGGTGGAGACAGGGTGCCGGTGCTGGGCGCTGGCAGTGTGCGTGGTAGAGACAGCGGGCGCCGGTTCCGGTGCTGTGAGCTGGCAGTGCGGGTGGTGGAGACTGGGCGCCGGTGCTGGGTGCTGGCTGTGCGCGTGGTGGAGCATGGGTGCCGGGTGCTGGGTGCCGGGTGCTGGGTATACCGGTGCTGGGTGCTGGGCGCCGTGAGCTGGCGTGTCGGTGCTGGTGCCCGGGTAACAAACCGCCCCTTGCAGCAGTGAAGGGCCGCTCCTGACAATGAAGTGCCAGCAGTCATGGGCCGCGTGAACTTATGCACGCAACATCATACGGTGTTGTTGCTTGAGCGTTCTTTGTCTATTAGGGTATTTACACTCTTCAGGTTCTGTTTTGGTCGACAGCTGCGTCAGGC